ATACTGTTTATTGTGATGCGTCGCGGATTGGTCTCGACGCGGTGTTGATGTAGGACCGTAGGGTGATTACCTACGCGTTCAGACAACTGAAGGTACATGAAAAGAACTATCCTGTCTACGACCTTGACTTAGCAGCTATTGTTCATGCCTTGAAGATTTCGAGGCACTATTTGTACGGTGTCCCTTGTGAGATCTACACTGATCACCGGAGTTTGCAGCATCTGTTCAAGTATAATGATCTAAACTTGCGTCAGCGGAGGTAGTTAGAGCTGCTTAGGGATTATGATATCGCTATTTTATACCATCCCAGGAAGGCCAATGTGGTGGGCGATGCCTTGAGTTATAGGGCGGGAAGTTTAGGGAACTTAGTATATTTACCAGCAGTATAGAGGCCATTGGCACTGGATGTTCAGGCCTTAGCCAAACCAGTTTGTTAGATTGGATATTTTTGAGCCGAATCAAATTTTGGCTTGTGTAGTCTCTCAGTCATCTCTTTATGATCGTATCAGGGAGCGTCAGTATGATGACCCCCATCTGCTTGTCCTTAAGGACACGGTTCAGCACGGTGATGCTAAGGAGGTAACTATTGGAGATGATGGTGCATTGAGGATGCAAGACACGCTATGTGTGCCCAATGTAGATAGTTTGCATGAGTTGATTCTCTAGGAGGCTCACGGTTTGCGATACTCGATTTCTCCGGGTGCCACAAAGCTGTATCAGGACTTAAGGCAGCATTGTTGGTAGATGAGAATGAAGAAGGACATAGTGGAATACGTAGCTTGGTGCCTAAATTGCCAGCAGGTGAAGTATGAGCATCAGCGGCCGGGTGGATTGCGTTAGAAGTTAGTGATTTCGGAGTGGAAATAAGAGCGGATCACTATGGATTTCGTTGTTGGACTCCCACGGACTCAATGGAAGTTTGATACAGTTTTGGTGATTGTGGATTGGCTGACCAAGACAGCTCATTTCATTCCTATAATGACTACTTATTCTTTCGAGCAGTTGGCTCGAGTTTATATCCGCGAGATTGTCAGGCTTCATGGCGTGCTAGTGTCTATCATCTCATATCGGGGTGGACAGTTTACATCACGGTTCTGGAGGGATGTATAGCATGAGTTAGGTACTCGAGTCGAGTTGAGGGATGTATAGCATGAGTTAGGTACTCAAGTCGAGTTGAGCACAACATTTCACCCTTAGATGGACGGGCAGTCCAAGCGCACTATTCAGATTCTAGAGGATATGCTCTATGCGTGTGTGATGGAGTTTGGAGGTTCTTGGGATCCGTTCTTTCCACTTGCAGAGTTTGTGTACAACAACAATTATCAGTCGCATTCAGATGGCATCGTATGAGGCTCTGTATGGTAGGCGATGTCGGTCTCTAGTGGTTTGGTTTGAGGCGACGAGGCTAGATTATCGGGTACAGACTTAGTTCAAGATGCCTAGGAGAAGGTTAAGGTGATTCAGGATAGACTTCGCACAACCCAGTCCAGACAGAAGAGTTATGCGGATCGGAAGGTTCGTGATATTGCATTCATGGTTGGAGAGCGGATCTTGCTCCGAGTTTCGCCTATGAAGGGCGTTATGAGGTTCAGAAAGAAGGTAAAGCTAAGCCCAAGGTTTATTGGCCCATTCGAGGTGTTGCGGCGAGTTGAGGAGGTTGCTTATGAGCTTGCCTTACCTCCTTGTCTAGCAGGGTTCATCCAGTATTCCATGTTTCTATGCTCCGGAAGTATCATGGTGATCCGTCTCATGTGTTTGATTTTCGCTCAATCCAGTTGGACAAGGATCTATCTTATGTTGAGGAGCTAGTGGATATTTTGGACAGGCAGGTTCGAAACCTGAGGTCAAAGAACATTGCTTTAGTGGAGCGGTCAGCCGGTCGAGGAGACGACTTAGGAGAACGAGTAGGATATGCGCAACCGTTATCCTCATCTTTTCGCCACTTCAGGTATGTCTCTATGCTCGTTCGAGGACGAACGATTATTTTAAGAGGGGGAGGATGTAATGACCCGGCCGGTAATTTTGAGAGTGATAGCCCCGATCCCTATCTTCTGCTTTCTCCTTATCTTTTTTTTGCTTGTGTGGCTTGCCGGGAGGTTTTTTTTTGGTTTAGAGTGTTTTGGAACACTTAGTCTCTAAACGGAAGCTTAAGCCTTAGGATTTTGACCATAGTCAGAACTGTGTGAAGATGACTCCGGAATAGAGTTTCATTGGTTTCGATAGCTCCATTGGGTATTTTGGGCTTAGGGGCATGTCCAGATTGTGTTTGGGAGGTCTGTAGCTGATTTAGGCTTGAAATGGTGAAAGTTGAATTTTTGGAGATTTGACCAATAGTGGACTTTTTGATATCGGGGTCGGATCTCGATTCTAGAAGTTGGAGTAGATCCGTAATGTTGAATATGACTTGTGTGCAAAATTTGACGTCAATCGGACGTGGTTTGACAGCTTTCGGCATCGGTTGTGGAAATTTAAAGTTTCAAGTTCATTAAGCTTGGATTGGAGGCCGATTCGTGTTTTTGTTGTTGTTTGAGGTGTTTTGAGCGCTCGACTAAGTTCGTATGGTGTTTTTTGACTGCTAGGTATGTTTGGTTAAGGTCCTAGGGGTCTCGGGTTGATTTCGGGTGGTTAACGGATCATTTTTGGACTTGGGAGAATTGCAGAATTTTCTGGTATTTTTGTTGCTGGTTTTCTTCATCGTGTTCGTGAGAGAGGCCTTGCGTCCGCGTAAGGCATCTGGGAGTCCAGCTGAGTTATTCTTTGCATACACGATGTTATTCCCGCGTTCGCGAAGATATGGAACCTTGAGACTACGCATTCGCGATATGGACCTCGCGTTCGCGTAGAGAAACGAACAGATGGAGCTTCAGGCATTTAGTCTACGCGTTCGCGAAGAGGGTCCCACGTTCGTGTAGGGTCAGTCAGTGGAAGGTATGCATTCGCGAGAGGTCCCTCACGTTCACGAAGGAGGAATTTTAGTCAGTGAGATTTTGTTCTACGTGACGCGAGGGTGTGGCCCCGTTCGTGAAGAAGGATTCACCTAGGCAGAATATAACATTTCAAAATCGTGGTTTTGGCCATTTTTATCAAAACTTGAGTATGAGAGCTCGGATTTGGACGAGATTTTGATGGATTTTTAGAGACATCGTTGGGTAATGATTGTACACTTGATTTTGGTTATATCCCACTAATCTATCATTAATTCCACCATTTAATTTCAGATTTGGGTTGAAAATTTGGGAAAAATGGGAAGAAGTTCTTCAACTAAGATTTTAGGTTTTGATTAAGATTTTGATATCGGATTTGGATAATTTTGGTACGAGTGAATTCATGAGTGAATGAGTGTTCATATTTTATGACTTTTACCCGATTCCGAGATGTGGGCCTGGGTCGACTTTTGTGGTAATTTTCTAATTTCCTGCTTAAGTCTTGATTTTATTAATTAGATTAGTTCTTATCGTTAAATTTATGGTATGTAATTGCTTTTGGCTAGATTTGGGAAATTCGGAGTCGGATATTTGTGGAAAAGGAATTGTTACCGATTGATTGAGCTTGGTTCGAGGTAAGTGGCTTGCCTAACCTTGTGTGGGGGATTTTCCTTTAGGATTTGATACTATTGTGATATGTGAGCGCCGTGTACGTGAAGTGACGAATACGTACACGGGCTATTTGTTGTAAAACTCCTTTTCTCACTGAGTAATAATTTGTTTCATTTTAATTGAGTTGTACTAGCATGTGTAATTATCTTGTTTACCCTAGAATGACATATCTACGTGTCTTAAATGCTTATCTGAACTTTGTGCAGCATGCTTAGTAGATTTCCTGCTTCTTCCTTGACTTGCACTAAGTCTAAACTGTAGGATTTCGTGTTGTAGCTGTAATTTCTATTGTATGAGCTGTGTATTTACTTTGGGACTACAGAACGGTATTTCGCGAGATCCCCCTTCATATTTACTTTGGAACTACGGGACGGTATCCCCGGAGATCCTCTTGCAAATTTATTTTGGGACTACGGAATGGTATACTAGGATATCCCCTTGCACCTTTACGTTTGGGACTACGAGACGGTATCTCGAGAGACCCCCTGCTGTTATTTCTGTGTACCGTACTGTTATCCTTCTGTGATTTCTTTCTAGTTAAATTTCTGTCTTTTATTTTACTGCGATATTTTTATTGTGTCTTATTATATATATATATATATATGTACCAGTAGGGCCCTGACCTGTCCTCGTCACTACTCGACCGAGGTTAGGCTTGGCACTTACTGGGTACCGTTGTGGTGTACTCATGCTACTCTGCTGCACATGTTTTTGTGTGCAGATCCAGGTACCTCCTACCAGCCTCGCTTTTAGTTGCACAATTGCCGCTGTTCTGGAGTCCCCTTCTATCCCTTCTTATGTTGTTCCTCTTTTACTACTTCTAGTATTGATGTATAGAACAGTTGGACAAAATTCTTAGAAGCTTATGACTTACGGTGTTCCGGGTCTTGGGAGATTTTGTGTATATTCGAGAGTGGTTATCGTAGGTGCCGAGCGGCAATTATATCAGTTTTTAAATTATCTATTATAGTTAGTTGTTAAATTTATGTTTTCGTTTCATTATTCTACAAATGTTAGGCTTACCTAGTCATAGAGACTAGGTGCCGTCACGACATCTCACGGAGGGAGGATTTGGGTTATGACACCTACCTTACTATCTCTCCCCAATACTTGTTAGGCATGCCCCTTCCCTTCCTCATAACCGCAATGGATAACCTCTCACACCTACTGACCGGAGCATCTATGTCTCTCCTCTTCACATGCTCGAACCATCTCAGCCTCGACTCCGGCAACTTGTCCTCCATAGATGCCACTCCTACCTTGTCCCTAATAGCTTAATTCATGATCCTGTCCTTCCTGATATGACCATACATTTATCTCAACATCCGCATTTAAGTTACTTTCATCTTTTGGACATGGAACTTATTGATGGGCCAACACTCAGCCACATACAACATAGCCGGTCTAACCACCACTCTGTAACTTGCCCTTAAGACCAGGTAGTATACTTTTATCACAGAAAACCCCTGAGGCAAGCCTCCATCTCACCCACCCCACCCTACTCCAACGGTGGGCAACATCCTCGTCAATCTCTCCGTTGCCTTGAATTATATACCCAAGATAACTGAAACTATCTCTTTTGGGGATGACTTGAGTACCAATCTTCACTTCCACTCCTTCTTCATGCATCCCATCACTGAACTTGCACTCCACCGTCTGTTTCCAAACTTCCAACCTAGTATTAACTCCGTCACGCGTCTCATCAATCAGTACTAAGTCATAAGCGAATAACATACACCATGGCACCTCCCCTTGTATGTGTCGTGTCATCACCTCTAACAATAAAGCAAACCAAAATGGGCTAAGACTCCACTAGAAAATGATCTGAGTCTCCTCCCGCAGCCTCACCCGAGTCTTTTCTCCCTCGTACAGGTGTTTAATCACCCTAATGTATGCCATTGGGACACCGCTAGCCTCTATATATCTCTATATGACCTCTCCCGGGACTTTATCATAGGCCTTCTCCAGGTCTATGAATACCATATGCAAGTTGTTATTCCTTTTCCTACACTGCTCCACCAATCTCATCATAAGGTGAATGGCCTCTGTAGTAGACCTTCCGGGCATAAATCCGAATTGGTTCTTGAAAATAGTAACATTACATCAGACCCGCCTCTCCACCACCATCTCCCAAATTTTTATAGTATGACTCAGTAGCTTGATATTCCTATAATTGTTGTAGTCCTGAATATCACCTTTGTTCTTGTACAACGGGATCATCAAACTCCACCACCACTCTCTTCATCCTAAAAATGACATTAAACAACCTACTAAACCACTCCAAGCCTACTAATCTCGTCCAAGTCACACCTCTATTTGAGGTTATGAAACGGTCGATGCAATAGTAATACCCAACTGAGAGTCAGGGTCGAAATCCATAGGGAGCTATATGAATGGGATTTAGGAGTATATATATTGCGGTGAATGAGTTTGAACTATCTTAGATTGCACTTCCACAAATATGATTGTTTCTAGGTCTAATTTAAACTAATATTGCAAGATAAACAATTGAAACTAAGAAATTGTGTTTTTGTTGTTGTTGTTTTCAAGTAATGTAAAAAGCCTAGGGCTATGACCTTTACCTAAGTGTTTGCCTAACGGGTTGTAAATTGTAAAGCTTGTTTTGATGGTCGGGGTGTATTATAGCTATCAACACTCAAGTACCCACTCAATACCTCTCGGTAAGAGAGTAATTTTGCCCAATTTGGCTTTCTCAAGTCGGGTTCTACTATCTCTAAGTTCAACCCTTTAATTGGGACTATCAATCTCTTGATTTTATCCCAAATTCTTGTTAGCCAAGTTTTCCGAGACTAAGTCTCTCTTTCTCAAGTAGAGACCAAGTCAAATAGGCATGAACTAATGTTTGCAACCATTAATTCTATAATAAAAAGCTAGAACAAGGCTAAATAATAAACACCCAACCATAAACAAGCCATAAATTAAACATCCATTAGGTTTACACACTAGGTTGGGTCACAACCCTAGTTAAAATCTTGCTACTCATAATGGGCATAGAAGAAAACAAGGTAGAAAAGATGATAAAACTCTTATTGAACGATTAAAAGATAAAAATCCAATGTTAAAAGTCACCAAAGTAAGCTAAAGTTGCCTAAAGCAGTATAGAAAAATGGCTACAAGGGTTTCAATATTCTAAACTTGACCTAATTTCCTGAAACTAGTCTATTTATACAAACCTGGAAATTTCGGATAGAAATACCCTTTCGGAGGTTCTGTGGCCGCACAATTCCATGTGCGGTCCGCAGTTTTCTTCAGTCTTGATAGTAGTTGGATTTGCAGCCGCACAATTCTGAAATGCGGCCGCATGTCTCATGTTTCACGATCCACACAAATCCTGGTGCGTCAGCGTAGGGCCCTTCTGCGGATCGCACAATTCTGAGTGCGGCCGCGTGGCTGACTTCTGTGGTCACACAATAATTATGCGGTCCGCATCTTCTTTAAGCCTGAAATGATGACTCTATAAACTTCTATTCTTGGTTAGCTTCTGCGGCCGCACATTTCATGTGCGCTCCGCACTATACACTGAGACTCTGATAGATTTCCTTTGCATTCTGCGGCCGCAAATGGAAATCTGCGGTCCGCACTTGAGCCTTTGTGCCTGATTTTTGTCCTTGAGTTCAGATCACTCCTTGAGTTGGATCTCATCTTTGTGGCTCATTTTCCAATACTCCTGGAACTAAGCATATTTCGTCAGTTTTTGGGAATATAATTAAACAGTTTTTGGACTAAAACAAAAGTAAAAAGGCGCTAATAAGTAGTCAAAATCCCCACTTATCAACTTCCCCAAACTTAAGATTTTGTTTGTCCTCAAGAAAATAAGGAAATTACCTCCTCCACAAGTTAAGATCTATTCCAGCTAATCTAAGGTGCATCAATCACACATCAATTGGGACCAATAATTACCCACAAGACTTATGAATTATCAACAAGACAATGATTTAAAGTTTTAAGCACAAATAGTTCTAATATGACACTTGGGCATCAAGAGTTGACTTTATTCATCAAGGAAGCTCTCTCTTTCATGTAGTTCATTGTGGATCCAAAACTCCTCCTCCTCTACTCTCCGTTAGCATATCTCATTTAAGAATATAGCACTCAATTCAAGGATTTGTGGAAAGTTCGTTCATCTCTCTCAAAGAATGTCACAAGTACGGCTCTAAGTACCATATGCTTGCCCCTCATTTCCTTGAATGCAATGAAGGCTTTTGGACTAAGGTAGGGAATGTTGGAATAGAACGGGTTCATCTTTTCTTAAGCACTCCATTTTCTCTTTTTGGATCATGTTTTGCCGACTCTTTTGAGGCATTTTCTTTTTCCTTAGGAGAACTAGAGAAACTTAACATCACTATTTCTTGGTCATGATATTCATTTTCTCCTTCTTTGTTTTCTCCATGCTTTGCATTTTCTTTGAATCCCTTCAACTTTTCAACTTATTCACTTTCTTTTTGCATTTTTCTTTCTTCATTTCTTTTCTCTTTTTGTGCCTTGGTAGCACTTTCAAACTCCTCGTCTCTCCCTAAACTTATGTTTTAGCCAATTATTTCTAAAGAGTGTTAAGGAATGCTCGGTTTCCAAGAGAGGGTCACTACAAAACAGGTAAAGGCTTGTAATGTGGTTATCAAATGAGAAAGGTCTTAGACTCAAATGGGTTGACTTGGAATAGCAACATTGGCGGGACATGAAAATTTTCAAACGGGTAAAGGAGAGCCTACAATCACTTCTCAAGCCAATCAAAACTTAAAATTTTCCCTAGAAACACATTCGAGGCAAGTTATAGACCATTCGCACGGGTACTTGGACTTGCAAAAAAAACATCTCACCTCTCACATAGCTGGACTGTTAAACAGGATAGATTCAAGGGCCCACAACAACCATATTCAAGATTAAAAATCACTAATGGTTCAACTAAACCGCTCGATGATTGCTTAAGTCAACACAAGAGTCAAAAGGTCATTCTAGAGCTATTTCTTTCCAAGAACTTGTTTTTAATCATAAGCCCGTAGTTAAGTGTGTTGGTACCAAGTGAAGCATGCTTGACTCTTCCAGTTCCACTTAATTAGGTCCTCTTATTCATTATTACTACTACTATTCTTACCTAAACATCAAAAACGGACTCAATCCCTTAAGAAGGTTGTCACGCCATCCATTGTTAGGAAGAGTCACCCGGTTCACACAAAAACCACCTTTGGAAAGAACCGTGGCATTAAGAAAACCAAAGGCTTATTGATCACTTAAACATGAAAGCTACTAAATTAAAAGAAGCTATTAAATTAAATAAGAAGCTATTAGACTAAATAAAAAGGAAAAGAAAATGTTATCAGTTATTACAGGCCAATGTCAAATATCATCAAATCAAATAAATCCCCCCCCCCCCCCGCCGGAATAAGAATAAGCATTGTCCCAATGCTTAACAAAATAAAAACAAGGAAGGGAAATAGTAGAGAGGACTCCCTATGTGGTCTCTGTGTCCATAGAAGCATCACTACCCTCAGGCTCCTCCAACTGGATCTCATCATCCTCTTCTTGGGGAGTAGCTGGGTTAGTGAACATCTATAGCACCGCCTCAGCTGTGTGGGTAGCGAGGTTTGGCTCCTCAGACTGGCTAGCTGGTGGCACTGATGCTGATGGTTCTGCTGGAGCTATGTCCATCAGCAAGTCAAATGGAAGATCCCCAGCGGCTGCTATCTTGGTCACCTCTCGTCTCAACCTGTCAACTAATTTCTTCGAAGCCTAGAATTTTCTCATCTTCTTCACCTGCTTCTCAAGCTACTCAATTGATGTTCCATGTGCCACCAAAGTGTCCATGATGGTTTTCTGATTCTCCAATATCTTCTTCAAAGTTTCCTCCACAGGCGGGGAAATTTGGGGTGCTGGGGTAGAGTTTTGGGCTGCAACAGCACTGGATAGATCAGAAATCTTCGCAATAGCAGTCTGCATCTAGTTGTTGAGACTCGCCAGTGTCTGGGAGACTCGTAGCACAGAAAGTGGATAAGTAGAAGATGAAGGAACTGGTGTTGATAGCCTTGCAGATGAAGGTGGAGGTATGGCAGTTGTACTGCTAGAAGGCCTGGCTGCTTTGGAACGCATGGTTGCTGAATCTGCAACTACCATCGATGGCTCATCAGAGTTGCCTACGGTAGTAGTCAACTTACCCTTATTCTTCGGGTTCTTTGGGTCTTTCAGACAGTACCATGTGAAGGGCTTCTTCGCCCGAACGTTTGTGTCAAAAGTCTTTGACTCCACCCCCGCATCCGTATGATACTCCGTAATGGTGTTGGGATATGGGTATGAGCTATCACCCTGCCTACCAACCAAATATTGTTGACCGTCATGATGGCACCCACATTGATTGGGTACCCGGCCATAATGGAAGCCACTAGAACTGCCCTCGGGATTGATAGATTATTTTCGTTCTTGCTTGGATCTATTCGACTGCACACAAAGGTCTTCCACCCTTTTGCTTCAAAGTTGAGGGTGTTCGGCTGAATGGGAACCCCTGCTGTGATCCATGGTTGTGGTGGTCCTAGAGCTACCAAAATCTCAGCTAACCATGGGCGAGCTGCATCACCCAGTGCAAAATTCTCCAAATATTGCTCCAGCTCCACATCCTCGAGCCCTAAATATGTGTTTAGGCAGGTTTGATCAAATCTAACTTTCAAGTTCCTTACCTTAGTCACCTTAGTCCCCTTCTTGATATGCGCCACATTGGTGTAGAATTCCTGGAATAAGTGCTCCTTGGCATCCACCACACT